AGTAACCAATACTATGAGATATTATTGGTGGTGTTTCAATTTTTGCTTAAATCTTCATCATTATATCGGTCAGAGAAAAAAAAGAAATAAATTTGAGAAGTTAAGTAAATATAATCTTCATTTGTACTATTATTTGTTTCTTTCTCAGGACTTTGAATTTATAAGAATTTCACAAACTTTTGCTACTGTCTTAGATTCTCACCCTTGAGATTTATCATAAGTTTCAGAGAACTTACTTTTGTGTTTAGGCTTAGACAGCATTTAATGGTATATAAGCCTAAAATAATTGGGTTGAATTCTAGAATATACCCATTTTGAAATTTTTTGAAACACTTGTAATGTAGAACTGGAAATTCTGAGGTTAATACTTACAAATTATGGCCAGGTGGTTAGGGTGGTCGACTCGCAATCTGTGGGTCGCGGGTTCGAATCCCCGTCACACCAAACATGCTCTTCCTTTCAGCCGTGGGGGCGTTATAATGTGACGGTCAATCCCACTATTTGTTGGTAAAAGAGTAGCCCAAGAGTTGGCGGTGGGTGGTGATGACTAGCTGCCTTCCCTCTAGTCTTACACTGCTAAATTAGGGACAGCTAGCGCAGATAGCCCTCGTGTAGCTTTGCGCGAAATTCAAAACAAACAAACCTACAAATTAAGATTTTTAGTTATAATATTCCGTAATGGTCTACAACGGCCTTGGCATTAATCTTCTTGAGGCCTATTCCAGATTTTGAATTATAATAATAATTAAGCCTATATTAACAGGAATTTAGTTTCTAAGTTTTAGGCCTAAGCATCTAGCCTATTCAGCATGGCCTAAGCAACATTTAAGTGAATCTAAACCTTAAGTGTCTGAAGTTAAAATACGCTGAGTTTTGATTTTTTTATATATATAATGTTATATTGCATATGGTAACTATAACCTTTTATAACTTATGTTGGGAAGGAAAATTGCCTATGACCATATTTGTTCCATAAATTTAACATATGTTGAATGTTTGAATACAATTTGTTTCATACAGACATCAAGATAAATCAAGATTAAGTTTGCTGTATCATATGTGAGGAGCAAAGTTTCACTTTAGCCAAATTTTTATTATAAAGATGAATAAAAACCATATAACACAAGCACTTTCGAAAGGTGGGCCTTTCTTCTTAAGGCACAAACTGAGAATTCCCAGTTTGCCCCTGAAGAGGAAAGCTCCACCTTTCGAAAGCACTCAGGTTATAGGGTTTTTATTCATTTCTATCAAGACTTCTTGAACATACATGTTTTTCTAACATCATGAATTTATTATAAAAATGTCATGTTGTATCATATGTTAAGAGATGTTTGTCATTAAAGACACTAAAAACATGTCTTTTTTTTTTTCTTGAATGATAGTTAATGAATAGATTACTAAACAGTTTGTTAATTTTTAAGTACTTAATGTATAACATAGCTATTATTTATTATAATAATGATATAACATTAATGTATATCATAAACTGATAATATTTAATGTATAATATGTATTATTTAGTGCATAACATAGCATGTAAATCAGGAAATGCAGGAATTTTGGCTTGGTAAATTTCCCTAATGTTACTTAAGTTAATTTGACTGAGCATAATTACTAGAAGCACCTTTTTGTAGGTTATTGGAGGAAGGAGATCCTGTGCCAAATTTCTCTAGCATATAAAAGTAGTAGTAAAAGGAATACTATTAAAATCATATTATTAACACTGTGTACTTGATGTTAAGAATAAAAACTAATAAAACAAATACACAGTAATAAAAAACGTATAAACAGTTGTCGTCAGCCACTTGCCTCCTTATTTGGTAGCTTGGAATTAGGAACAGTGTCAAGTTAACTAGAATGTGTACTGACAAGCATGCTGCAATCAGACTCAATAATTGGAAGGAGATAGCCTCTGCTTTGACTGGTGTTACATTTTTCTAGCATATAAACAAATCTGACAGTATTTTTTTATCAAATGAAGAGGGATTAATTATTTATGATGAATGTGTGTGTGTGTGTGTTCTTTATAAAACAAAATGTGATTACTAAAAAAAATTGGAATATAAATATATTTATAATTCTTAGTATATAAAGTTAAACACATGTATTGTTTGTAAATTTAATTTTTTAATAGTTTCTGTATTTTTTATTTCCCTTGTAACAGAAATCATATGACAAAATTATCACATCAGTCAAAGCTAGTATTATAAGACTGTCACATTAGTCAAAGCTAGTGTTGTAAGACTGTCACATCAGTCAAAGCTAGTATTGTAAGACTGTCACATCAGTCAAAGCTAGTGTTGTAAGACTGTCACATCAGTCAAAGCTAGTATTGTAAAATTGTCACATTAGTCAAAGCTAGTGTTGTAAGACTGTCACATCAGTCAAAGCTAGTGTTGTAAGACTGTCACATTAGTCAAAGCTAGTGTTGTAAGACTGTGACATCAGTCAAAGCTAGTGTTGTAAGACTGTCACAATAGTCAAAGCTAGTGTTGTAAGACTGTTACATTAGTCAAAGCTAGTGTTGTAAGACTGTCACATTAGTCAAAGCTAGTGTTGTAAGACTGTCACATTACAAAGAAATAGATAAGATCACCATATACTAGAAGTTGCACAAACATGTTTAATTTTAATATTATAGAAGAGTGGAATTCTTACTCGGCTAACTTTGATGAGACAGACAGATAATTATGTTAAACTGAGGGCATGATCTTCAAATACCTTTATTATGAGTTTTGATAAAATGTGTTATGTGAATAAATGTATACCTTATACCAGAATGATTTTGAATATTTAAATCAGCAAGCCGCCTGGCAACAGTGGAATGGAATGTATCAAAACTACATTTTAAAATTGTTGTTTTTATTGGTAGTGTTATGCCACTCAGATCATAAACATGTGTTCAGATAAGGGATTTAGAATTTCTAAGGTGGGGGATATCCCTTGTACTTAATGGCACTGGAAAACAAATGAATGTTGATCAACTTGTGTTACTAGGTTTACCCAGAGAGACCTGAAACAAGTCGTACTTTAGCCGTTGTAAGCAAAGTGCGCCATCTTGTAACAAGTGAGAATAATCCATGTGCCCCAGGCAACAGTATGAAAAATAATGGATTTACCAAGGTAAGGCTTCCAGTTGTACCTACCGTTCAACTACCGTATATCTGAGGTAGTTGAAGAATGAAATAGGTGATCATGATATTTCATACAAAGAAATACTGATCAAATTACTAGAAATAGCATGTATGGACTTCTTTGCGATTAGACTGATGAAATAGGTGCTGGTCCTTGTACACCAGAAGAATAATGAAAAGCAAGCAGGGAGAAGTGGTATGCTTTGTACATGATATCCTTACAATGTTGCAGTAAAAACTATGCTTTAAGGCTATTGCAAATATGTATGGTCATCAGAAAAAGTATGACTGGATGTGGCAAAATGAACTGTAATAACATGATGAAGATCCAAATATTTTTTTTAATATGACGTATTTGTTGTTTAAGGCATCCATATTAAATGAATTCTTAAATGTATTTTAGGCTTCCAGTGAAAGTACCAACAGGCATTGCTCTATTCCCTAATGAGATTGCCATGCTGCCAAGGAACATAGCAAAGGATCAGTACAGGAACATTATTCATTACACTGAAATGCCACGAGGGGGCCATTTTGCAGCACTCGAAGAGCCAAAACTTTTAGCAGATGATATATGGAAATTTGTGGGAAAAGTTAAAAAATTAGAGGCACTGAAGAAAGGAAAATAGATTGAGCCTAAGAAAATTGTTAAATGCTACAACTTTCACTCTCGTCTGAAATACTTAACGTGGCTCACTAGGAGCTTTGTTACGTCAAACCATGTAACAGTAAATTGCCTTTTTTTGGGTTTCATTGTATATCCTGCATAAAGCTGGCTATAGCGGAGTAAACGCGACTTCTTGAGCAACATGCTAGTAGTCATCATATACTTTAAAAAGATAGAAGTGTTGTATTGAAATTATAATCTTTCTAGTGATTGTTCTAAGATTTTAGATATTGGAATTATGTCATAATTGTATTTTTAAATCTAATACTTGTAAGTAGCTTGTGATTAACTACGATCCTCATTCTATAGAATTTTTTTTCACTCGACTCTCTAGCTACTCAGTAGGTTTTTGTTGAGCTTTATATATATTGTGCTTGATGATCGATTCTGTAACAAAATTTAGCTGTTTAAACAACTGCGATAAGAACTACTGTGTGGCTCCAAACTTGAAGGTTGTGATATTGTATGACTAATGTCTAAAAAATAATAATGCATCTGACAAGATGATCATTATGATGGGTTTAATTTTGAACCGTATTTAGTATAAAATTAAATATATTTTAATCATGGATTGATCTATTTTCTAATAAGTACTTGAGTATTCTCCATTTTCGTAATGTTAGTTTAATCAGAAGTTCAGCTTTGAAAATGTATATCCTGACATAACAGAGCTTTGTAATCTAATATAAATGTTGTATATTTTTTATTTTTTTATTTTATGAAAGGAAGTAAAAATATATATACTTCTTACAATTATGTATATAGGTTTTGGTGACAGAACCAACACTTTTGAAAAGTTGAGAATAAAATGGAACTTTGCATGCAATCATTTGTTATGTACTTCATTGAAAGCAGTATTGTGGCAAGATCCGTGTCTTTCAATGGTTGTTATAAACTTCTTTCCAACGTTTTTAAAAGTTGAACTCCTTAAACAACAACAAAAAAAATGTATCATAAATGTAAGTAAACTAGCCAATTATGTAAATCATTAGAAAACATCATAAATGATAAAATACTTTTAATATACCACATTTAAATACTTGATAAAATATGTAATGAAATTTTAATATTTCATAGGTAGAACAATAATACCCTTCCCTTCAGGCCTGCAAAATCAGTTTGAAACTTTTTTGAATTTGGCTTATGGTGACAAAAAATGGTAAACTTTCTAATGATGGTTTATCCAGTGCTGGAGCTAGTTCAGTTACGTGCCACATGGTGATGTGGCAGTAATTCTGAAGGCTTATAATGCAAAAAGCAGGTTGCATTACTTGTGTTATGCAGCTTTGTGATTAACAAAAAAAGAAACATAGATAAACATTTTTTGCTTATTATACCTTTATTGGTACAACTAAAAAGACTACTCTAGTAATTATAGAGCAAAACATGAAGACCCACAAGATGTAGCCAGAGCTATTGTAGTCACTAGCTAGACAGAATGGTATAAGTATGATTTAACACTTTTTTTTTTTCATTTGTTTCTGCAGCAATACTAAGCTTCTAAATGAGAGACATCATTGTATATGAGGTATTAAATTTGATAGGTTGAAACCTCGATGACTGAAGGTACTTAACTACAAACTGGTGCAGTTATTTGTTGCTTTAGGCTAAAAAACATTTTCAAATATAGTTTGGCCTAGGCTCTATGCCCTCTTGACACAACTTATGCTGTAATAATTTAAATTTTTTGTAATCACTTTCTTTGTAATTTTTACTGTCTGGTATTGATTCAGTGTGGTCTATAAACAAGTGGTTGTTTAATGTTGACTGGCCAAACCTAAAAGTAGAACTGGTAAATACGTGGTGAATCTCCAAACTTTTATTAATTTAATATAATGAACTATAACGTGATTTTCTAATGCTAGTCTTTTCAGCGTGCATGTGCTACCCATATCACTGACGACCATTCAGATAGAAGAAATAAAGAATGATATATCTTTAAGATATCCAATAATAAGACAGTGTTTCCGACTTCACAGCAATCTCACCAAAAAAGAAGGTGTACGTGATGCCATACAGGAGTGTTCCAAAACATTTAGTTGTAATTAAGACAATTTGTTTTTAACCATAGTAATTGTTATGGTATTTTGGCAGGTTTTTTGTTAGAAGTTATTACATAATAGGTAAAATAAAACTAAAGGAACTTGGTCCCATTTCTTGACCAGAAGTCTAGAAACATATATCTGTGAAAGATTTTGAAAATTTTTGAGGAACTTAAATTGTTCACCTTACTAACTAAATATAAACAGATAAGAAATATTAACCCTTACAATGCATCAAGTGGATATAACTGCTTTAACATTTAGAGCCATTCCTAACTTGAATTTGATAAGTTCACTTTATCCATAGTTTTCTTCTTTACAGGTAAAACAAATCAGTGATTGAAAAGTAAGAAAAAAGTATTTACCAGTTCTACTTTTAGGTTTGGCCAGTCAACATTAAACAACCACTTGTTTATAGACCATACAGTAGATGGATTATGTATACGGAGGAATGGTGTGCTTTAGATATTAAATCTTAACAACAGTTTTCCGCAATGGAACTACATTGCAGGGCTATGATCAAGATGCACAGTCATCAGAGAGAACATGACTAAACCAAGAACTACATTTTCAACAACACGTTCATATAGAAATCCACTGGTGCTGTGTCCAACAACTTGACCAGCATGTCATCATATGGTATATGTAGCATGGTTAAGTTAGACATTCATTAACATTTTAATCATCTTTAAATCTTATAATAATCAGATTTAACTTCTAGTGGCCAGTGCAAGCTAGTAGTAATATTCATTCTAATGGCAAATGATAAAAGTACATTTTCAATGTAATTTATGAAAGGACTATTTCATATAAATATGTACTATGCTTAATAAAAACATTAATTTTGATAATAAAGTAATAATTACAACATACATACAATGAAATCTGTTTAACATTGAAAACAATTGTCAATGGGCTAATTCCTTGACCCTTCTGTAAATAGTTTATGTGATTAGATAAGGGGCAATTATTCAAAATATACAATTCCACTTAAAGTTCTTTTCCACATTTACAAAGGCAAAGCTCTCAGCTTGTAGCAAACCATCTGCCCATTTCAGTTTTAAATAATAGGATGAAATTTGGAACTTAGAATGTTGTTTATGACATAATTTGGAAATATTAACTGATTTTCTATATATATACATACATACTTATATTTCATTAAAAGGTAAGTTTACCACTTACTTATATAACTTTTAAAGAAAAAATCACCTCTAAAACTAAGGTAATAATTCATTAACTTGGTGACGTTTCGAGCAAACACTTTTTTTTGAACAGGCTTGTTTCTGGCTTGAAAAAGAGCATTTGCTCAAAACATCATCAAGTTAATAAGTTACTACCATAGTTTTTAAGAGGTAAATTTTTTTTGTCTAAAAGTCTAATTTTATTTTATCAGCCTTGCATTTTTCTACTTATATATATAATGTTAAATCCAGATTCATTAAAGATAAGTTTACTATTTACTTGTCACTTATGCTTACCTAGGTCACTTTTGGTTGCACCTAAATAATTTTCATTTCTGTGTTTTTTGTTACTGTTATTAATAATAACTTCTGAATGAACGTTAAGCAGAGTGTATAATATCAACCATACTGACCAAGCTTTTCAATTCAACACCAGGGCTTTTTAGCCTTGGTGGCATATGACAGATACAGTAATGATCAATATGCTATTAATTATTATATAAGCAAACTGCTTGAACAACAGCTGTATTAGCCATTGACAGACATATTCAACACAATAGCTTCCATTTTTTCCACAAATGCAAAATTTTGCATCAGGTACATAAAGTTTCAAAAGGGCTGAACTCTGGGTAGAAATATTGATGTGGCAAGTTCTTCTTGATCCTGATGGTGAAAAAGTGTCACTGTACGTAAACTGATACTCATTCTGAGTCCATTGGAACACATATTCACAAGGTATGTTGTAAAAGGTGTTTTTTATCCCTATTGGGTCTTTAGGCAGTGTATTTCACAAGCACAGCTATTCTCTGCAACCCAGAGATTCACCACGTCACTCCTTAGATCGATATGTTGTATTATCATCATTAACAGGTAAAAAAAATACATGCATGTTAAGAACTCAGTCCATTTAGTAGAGATTATAAAAGCAACCGCATTAAATTCACAAGGCACAATGATACACTTTTATGTATCCAACCTGTTCATTAATATGCAACCCTTGAAACAATACAGATATTTTTTCCAACAGCATGAAATTACAGAACTCTCAAAGAAAGCACTCAAATGACAATCTGCATGATCACAGAGCTCACATCTTTCTCTATCAATAAAATGTACTTCAAACATGAAGTTAAGTATTACCAACAACAAGAAGGCCTAGCTATCACCAGTACTCAGTAACCAATACAAGGAACATTTTAAAGATAACCATTCTCAGAATAAAAACCTCCAAGTCCCAGGATTTGGTTCAGATATGTCAATGAAACATTTGTAATAGTGTGCCATTCTCAAGTGCACTGATTTACCTTAGAGTAATTAGGTAGATTCTAGAGAATCAAAGAAGGTCCACCAGAAAATGTACTGTGGAGCAAAATGTGAATTCTCCAACATGAACAGAGTTTGAAGGGAAGAAAGAGTCTGGAAACAATTTGAAAGACAGTGAAAAAAAGAAAAACTATATTTAATTCAACAACAATCAAGGTCTACCAGCTTTACCAGAGAGCTCTCTAGTGAATCTCAAATTTGTCTAGTTGTTATACAAGCAGAGCCCAAGTCCAGTAGAAAGGAAACAGAGAAAATTCAGTTTTTTACCCAAAACAAGCAGGCCACTAATCTGTATCTTCCAACCTTAGTAATTCATTAATACCAATATTTCAGTTCCTATAATACTCCTTCCATATACAAGTCAGTACAGACTGAAGTGACTACAAAGAACCACTGCGTGGGTACATATTACTTTTTGACTTGCTATACACTCACAATCTGTAATACCAATATTTCAGTTCCTATAATACTCACAATCTGTATTTTCCTGCTTTTCAACTGGAACTTGTGATGAAACAACTTTAAAAAAATAGCAAAATTGTGTGCTTTATAAGTCACTGAAAATATTCAGTCATATCCAAATAAAACAGTAGATGCACCAAATTTACATTTCGTTATGATATAAGCTACTGTTTACATAGTTCACTTTGAAATACGTATCTACGTTTTTTTTAGTATCCCCACATATTACATTTAGGATCTGTTCTCTTCCAACACAAACTGTCACAATCAGCAATTCAGGTTAAAATGTGTAGTTTATAACTACCATGTTGAATGGTTTTTGTTAAAGACTGTGGCATGTGCACTTTGATCCACATCTGAACAAATAGGGTTAATGGAAATTATGGTTTCTGACAATAGTATGTAATCATGACCAGTAGACTAATCCCATCAATGATGAATGTGGGATTTGGTCAACTACTGATCAGTAGTTACAGTCCGGATCCAGCCCTACAGCTGTTGTGTTGAGGACAGTGAGTCAATGATGAAAGTGGGATTTGATCAACTATTGATCACTAGTTACAGTCTGGATCCAGCCCTACAGCTGTTGTGTTGAGGACAGTAAGTCAATGATGAAAGTGGGATTTGATCACTTGGTAGTTTTTGTCTAATTACATTTTACTTATCAATAATGAAGGTGGAAGGTACTTAAGTCCATTTGAATAATAAAGTTGCCAAAGCTACATCAAGAAACGTTTTTTTAGCCGAGTGCTATGTACTACCTTTACCCATGGCTTACAGATTGCACTAATAAAGTTGTTATTGCACTAATAAAGTTGTTTGTAATGTAATTGAAGAGCTTTTTTTTTGCAGACTTCTCGGATGACGTTAGTTTATCATTATACTACTTAGTACAACAGAATACGCATGTGATGTTTGTCAATTAATGTGTATAACAGATCCATAAAAGGATTTTATGTTTTTATCCAGTTAACACACTCACTACAAGGGTTTCAAACAATCCTTCTGGTGAAACATTAATCAAGAGTTATACCTTCAAAAATTAGTGAGTTGTAAACATATTAACATCATTATTTTTTCCTTTAATAATTTCAGATATAAAATGATAAAATTAGTTAATAAAAAATATTCCACTATCTACGACCATACAGTAATTTTTTTTTTTAGATTTTTGGTAAACAAGTTTTGAAATTCTCACCCCCAAAATAATATAATGCGAGTTTTGGCAATACAATGATATTTGTACATTGTTGTCTCTGTAGCCTACTGGCCTCCCAAAAGTGGCTGCTGCTGCTAGCCTGAAAAATAAAGGCTCAAATTGATTGAAATACAGGCCATTTTCAGCGAAACCTCTCTTGTGCAGTTGCTATATTATAATTTATTACGTCCTATAGAATGAACAGATATATATGTTTCTTACCTAACAATTGGGGATAATCTTTCTCACCTTATAACTGAAAATATTCACAAGTCACTGGCCACATTGAGTCTCTACAAATGCTACAACCAAGAACTGAATTTTACATCTTAAATTCTATTTCTGTACATATAATTTTTTTTTTACAGGCTGTTATGGACTATTAGACTTTTTGAGAAATTATACTGGTTTTAAAGGTTAAGCTTCTGAAAAACAAGTTTTAAAAATTGACTGGGAGGCCTGACTGTAACAAATGTAAACTAAAAACAGCTGATAAACATTTAAGAACATTTTTTAAGTATTCAGAGACCTTATTCAAGAGATGAAACACAGGAGCACAATGGTAAATGTAATGTACACCTAAACTGACTGAAGCATGTTTTCAGTAGAACTTCATTCCCACAGTTCAGCTCTGCTGAAAACAATTTTCTAAAAGGCCTAAAAAAAGAATGTACAATACTGAAATATCTTCTTCTTAGTAAAGTTTGTTTTGTAGAATTTCATGCAAAGCTACACAAGAGCTATTTGAACTAGTCCTCCCTAATATTGAAGTAACAGATTAGAGGGAAGGCAGCTAGTCAACACCACCCAGTGCCAGCTTTTGGGCTATTCTTGTCAGATTGAATAAAAGGATTTGACTTTCACTCTTATAACACTCACATTGTGGATTTGTGTTTTTGCTGGTAGTGGAACATGAGCCACAGAATATCAGATCCAGAGTCTGGTAAGCTAAACACAACACCATGCATTTGGTAAAGAATAGACAGAAAGTTCTCAGATTTCTTGCATGTAGATATAACACAATTCTTAATGTGACTTAAAACAGTGAAAATAAATTGTCATAAAAAAATGGTGAGTAGAACAGTAGTTGTTTTTATTTTTACATTATAAGAAAGTACACAATAAATGGAAAATAATTAAATACAATGTTATTGTGAGTACAGAGCATCTTAATACTAGAACACTTGTTAAATAACACTACATAATGTACAAGGCAAGAAGTAATGAAACTAGCATTCTATGAAAAAGTTCCTAAAAAAAAACTTTATATTTTACAACTTTCCATACAGATTAGACAATAATCACTACCAAACGCACAAAATTCTTCTCTTAAATAATATTCCGATGTCTCAATCATTTCCCACTCTTAAACTTGTGACAAGTACAACAGGCACATTTCAGGACATCATCAAAATGTGGTGAGGCTGTTTTTGACAAGCTTTTGTCCATTCAATTTCTTATAAAAAATCTGGCTTGATTACTCTTCTAATTAAGAACTAAACAGACACAGCTATTTACAAGCCAAGGAAAGAGAGAGAAAATGGTACAAATGCTGACCTATTGGTTTTTATATTGAATTAACTAGAGAATGGTAGTTATTCACCTACATCTCTATTTTATTTTCTCACACCTCAGGTTACTAAATCAATCTGCTCCTACTTTTTGTAGGATAACAGTTTCTTAATATTACCGTTACTTTCAGCAGAGTAATAACACAAATAAGAACATGTAAAACACTAAAGAACAGGGAGCTTTCATCCAGAAGAATTAAAGTCAGTAACTTTGCTTCAATCACTAAAATAGAAAAGAATATTACAAATTTAACAAATACTTACAGGTGCCAGTTCGTTTTGTATAAAGCTTTAAAAAAGGAATGAGAAATTTCAGAATATAGAACTACGAAAATTGGATTTTCAACACCAAGTATCGGAAATCTTACAAAATGCCATATTTATAAACACATTTTTGTAATACAGAGAACTCTGTGATATAATAATAGTATTCTCAATTCAGGAACTGATTATAATATGATTTACATTTAGCTTTGAAACAATCTTAAAATTAGTTTACTAGTACAGAAAAAAAAAAGGTACTTTATGCATTAGCAACTGTGTATCTCGGAGAAAGATGTCTTTTACACGGACCAGGTGCATAATGCATTTGTGCCTCTTTTACGTTTCACCCCTGGGATAGAGAAATCAATACACACTTATTCCTCAGTATTTATTGTTATACATTTTTAATACTGTCATTTTATATTACTTTTTATGACAGTTTACTTGGCTAACTCAACAAAGTGGGTGCTTCTATCAGCAAATCTTCATGACAAGGAGGAAAACTTCCAAAATTCTTTGGGAAAGATTTTTGCTCACTTTCATACACCTAATCCAGGTAGAAAAAAATCAGTCTAGATTACGCCTAGAAAACAAGTCAAAAGTGACCATTTACAAACTTCACAATTATGCAAATGTTGCTCAAACTTTCTGTGAAGCGGGTGTCTACCATTAACCTGTTATTAGTGTCAAGTATACTGAAAACTAAAGGTCCCTAGCATGAATTCTTTGACATGATTGGCCAAGAGTGCATCACATTGTCTGGTCGTCAAGACCATTGCCATGCTTGCATGCATAATGTTACAGCAGCACTTTGCAGATGACAGATTGTTTTTGCTGCACGGTGAAAACATGCTTATTTACTCAGCCTAGTTATAAAAAATTTGCTCAAATCCCTAACATGAACTTAGACATATCTTGTTTCAGTTACAAATGAATAGCTGCAGAGTATTGTTGCAGAAAAGGACAGTAGGAGTATTAAAAACATAATCAAAGGAGTTTTAAAGGTCCTGTCTAACCTCAATATAAAATTTGCCTTCCGACATTGTAAATTAGGCATAAATGAATTAGCCTGTTTTTTTTTTGTGCTCCAAAAAAAATGCCATCTGCAAAATGACAGATGCATATTTTACACGTTCATTGGTATGGTCACATAATAATGGGCTGTTATATTTTGAAAATTAAACAATTTCTAAATCTTATTAATTTATCATTCATTCTTAAAATGAAATCAAAATCTTCAAAGAAGTGGTAAACTTTAGCCTTACATGTAGGTTCAGGGATGTAGACTAAATACACTAGGTGACAGCACTAATTAATTAGATTTTAATAAAACTTAAAATGAAAGGGAGGGGGGTTAGAATGAAACAATTATTGACTGGTGATTTTAAGCAACAGATCATTTGCTGTCCTCATAACCAATCAATAATTGTTTAGTAGCTCTTACTACGATTAATATAAATGTGATTATAATTTGTACATAATGTTTTCCCTGAAAAAAAAAGTAAACAAAATATTTATTATTTCAAAACTTGCACGTACAGTATGTTTGAAGTGTATTTCTAAACTTTCTTTTGGAGCACACATTCCGCTATGTTACAAAATGTTTAACCTAAAGTAAATAACTCTATCATTCTTTCAAATAAAATAGTTTATGTGTTTCACATCTGGTCTGGATAACCATTGCTTTGAGTACTTTCTAGAGAGCTAAAAACCTTTGTGGTTCCTTCAAGTTTTCTTGGACTTTTAAACTGAACCTGGAACACATCTTGGGTTGCTTGTCGTAGACAGTGAAAGTTGTAATCTATAAGGCCTAAAGAAGACAAATTCACACACTAGTTAAGTCCACATAAACAATATTTATAAAGAAAATGCTCTAGGAATGGTTTTGGGAAAGAGAGAACCATTTTTCTTCAGTGTTTTAAGACTGTTTGTCTCACTATATTCCAGCTTATGTGATTTTAAATCGTTGTTTCACTTTAAAACTTTGGAAGCAAATCAATGAAAAAAGGAATAAGTGAAAAAAAAACAACAAACATAATTACCGTATTGCCCCTAATTAACACCTCCTCTCTAATTATCACCCCCTGGTAATTTTATAAAGCTTACCTTATGCGAGACCAATAGTAACCCAACATATAATCCTATTTCACCACCATAATTAATGCCCCCCTTTCAGTTTTCAATGTCCCTGGGGGGCATTAATTAGGGGCACTACGGGATGCATATCGCATTCTCAACTTTCACCTAGTAAGCTCAACCATTAAATAAAAATTGTCATAGTCTAACATTATGTAAAAAAACAAAAACAGTTCCATATCCAATGTCAAACTCCCAAATAAATTACAATGTTTACTTGTGGACATAACTGAACACTATCATCTAATAAAACAGATTAGCAATTAATTCACATTCCTTGAATTTTCTTCATTAACAATGTGTATGAAAGTTAAATTATTCCAAGACACAACATACACTTTTATCTGAACTGATACAAAATACCCTAATCAAACTTGCATAATGAATTATAATCACACTGTGTTTTCTTCTTAATGTGTATTGGTTTTATTAGAGTTTCCAAAATTATGTTGTGCAATAAAACAAATAACGGCATTACCTTGCCGATCAAAGTTTTCTTCTCGAAGAATACACACTAGAGCAAGGAATCTGTTGATCTCCCGGAGATACAGAACTGTGCCATTATTTAACTTGATAGTACTACAGGACTGTTCGTCAAATGTACTTCCTTCAGTTTCCTCTGGCAAGCTGAACAAACACAGTAGCGAAAGCAACTCAAAATAATAAAAGTTTTTAAAGCTACCAAACTGGATTGTTTATGAAATAGTTTGTTATATTATGGCAATATATTTTTTTCTACTCTTTCTTAAGCTTAACTGTGCTTAAAGTTTCTTTTATTGAATGAATATAGGGGTAAATTTGGGAGTGGTTACTGCTTTGGGATGCAAAATTTTCCGTGTCTAAATTAAAAAAAATCATGTCATGAAAAAGTTAGATGCAAAAAATCAAACAATAACGAGTAAAAAATAATAATAATAACAATAAAAACAGAAACAAATGAATATTTTAAATAATTAATTTCTCTATATCACATCTTTTGATATTTTGTCTTACCCCAAAAACCATCTGAATATGTGCACATGAATATAACAGAATAATTAAAAGTATCTATTAGTTTTTTGTTTTTTTTTCAATATCTATTACTTTTTTTGCTTCGAGCATCACCCTAAACTTCCAGCTCAAATTCCTGGCAAGTTTGCATTCAATTACCACTGCCCAAATTAATTTATTTACTACCCTCTGAAATAGAATTATAATACCTTTTAAAACACAATTCTTTAAGAATATAGCTTTATCTTAGTGATTTTATGTTGATTAATATGAAAAAAAAGGAGACTCACCCATATATACAAGAAACATCAATCACGACATCAATCATGTCACAGCAGAGTTCATAAGACTGCATATCTATTGGTGAACTGTCTGTAGCAATGTATATCTTACTAACAACATCAAACAGGAAGGCTTTTTCTATTCCTGAATTCTGAAAAATAAAAATATATTCAATGCAAAAAAAAAAAGTAATGTTTTTACATTGAAAAAACAAGAAGTAAAAAATTAGAACAAAATATATCTTACCTAAATCAAATCAAGTTGCTTTAAAGGAAACAGTAAAAATTGTCTTAAAAGTGTTTGGCCGACAACTAACTGATTGTTTTCTCTTTAACCCTATGACTCCAGGCACCATTTTTAAATTCCTTTCTGTATATGGTACTGCATTACATTCAAAATTTAATTAAACCACTTTACTACCAATATATGCTAACCCTTTCAAGACGGGTCATGGGTGAAAGGCCATGTCATCTCATCTGTTGACTTGCATCCAAAATTTCATTGAACTACTATTTCATGAATTTATATCAATAAGTTTGGTATCAAACTGTAGATTATAATTCAAATTTTAGTACTATGTGTTACTCAATTTCTTAATTCAAAAGCTAATATAAAAAAACAGATAAACATCGATTTTTGTATGTCACGTGGTATGTTGAATGCAGCACTGGATCAAATTAGATGTTTGTGAAGTCAAAATACTAAGTCTATAGTTTCGAATGAATTAGAAGTCAAATTACCGATATTGACAAGCTAGAATATAAAATAAGTGCCTCTTATGTTTTCAATTTGCTAAGATATTGCTCATGTAATAAATCAAACACAGTGGCACCCCACCCACCTCTTTCCATTTTTCAAAATGCTTCCTTGTATACACTTACTTCTATATATGATATAAATAACCAATTGGAAGCTCATAATGTCCCCCTAGTGGATTTTCTCAGCTAATTTTAACAGATTTGGCACCATTTCTTTCTTTTGAACCAATATTTCAACGAGGTAAGGTGTGTCTTAGGTCTGCTCGAAATTTCATATTTTTTAGACTAAAATACATCTTAGTTACTAAACTTTATAAATTATAGTGGAGTTCTATGGTATTAATGTACTAATTTATGATTTTTTTTGTTATTCAAGTGTATATATAAAATCTAAAAAAAATATTTTGTTTCATATCCTCCACGTGCAAAAATTTTAAAGGTTTAGCAACCAACGTAAAGCAGCAACCAAGTACAAAGGTCGTAACTAGAAGAGAGAATTGTTTGCTTTACTTCTTTATTTACTGTTCTACATTTTAGGAAAAATATGTTTAAGAACTCGTTTCAAAATAACAATAATCT